CCCCAATATGCACTGCAGGCTGATAGTGCATGTTTGACAGTAATAAGTGGTTTGACGCCTGCCACCAGGTGTTTTCCTGTTAGAACACACAATGCAGTCCTGTTTTCTGTGTCCCACATCGGGAATATGTAGTTTATTGTCTAATTTATTGTCGCGAAGTGCTCGGACCGTCGTGAGCACGCATCTCACGTTCTCATCCGACACAAAACTCGCTGACATTTCTTGTATATATCTTAGTAATTTTACGATATTTTGATTTAATTTCTTGTGCCATTTCAAGATAAAACTTCAGGGAAACATGCATGTCTCAAAAAGTTGTGTTGAAATAACTCAATTCCCCATAATCACTAATAAACTGCAATGTCCCCTGAGAGGGGACATCCGAGTGATATGCTAGAATTCCGATGTCCCCTGAGAGGGGACAGCGGAGTGCAAAGGGTTAATGATGTTCAAAATCACTCATGTAAAGATTGTTTTGATGGCTGCGTTAAACTTATTATCAAATAACTCTATCATCACTAATAGTGTTAGTTTCTGTTATCTCTTTTATTCAGTTTTAGATCTTCTGCTTCTTTGTATGAATAATTTCATAATTGAAACTTAGAAATTTTGAGCATTATGAAACTCTTGATCTTGTCAAGCCCGTTGTATCTGACTTGCTTTGTTATTGCTCTGGTAATGGCAGGGTGAAATGCCATCTCATTATTTCAAGAAGAGAGTAGAAGTCGAGGTTCCCCACTTGGCCCAAGGTTTGTAGGTGTGTGTGTTGGCGGAGGGGTGAAGGGAGAGGGAGATGGGTAATCATTTTGTTATGAGATGGTGGGAGTTCTGGCTCCCTACTATTCTTCTGCCAATATCTCCCCAGTTGGAGGGATAGGTCTTCCTTGTTTCTATATCTTTTGGTTTCCACTTACATGACCTGGGACTGACTCCCACCTGTGACTCCTGCCTGGCCCTGCCTGCCCACCAGCCTCGGCAGTCAGTCCTGGGTCATCGACCCAGCACTTACTTCAGGATTGAGTTCCGGCATTCGGTTGTCAGTTTGGTCGTTTAGGCCGTCAGAACCCCTAGCTGTTTATATAATTAGATTCCTTTTACATAGAGAGGAAGAGAAATGGAGAAAGAAAGAGGGAGAGAGAGAGAGGTGGGGAAGAAATATCAATCAGCTCCCTTCTGCACACATGTAAACCGGATATGAAAGCCTCATTCTGAAATGTGCCCTAACTGAGAATCGAACCCTCCAGCCTTCGATACACTAGAGGATGCTCCAACCAACTGAGCCACATTGGCCAGGGCATTCTGTGTTTTTTGTTTTTTGTTTTTAAATGTCCAGGCTTTTAGAGAACAGGCCACTAGGATCAATGAGAATAGAAGCACAGTGGCTGATAGTGGTAACGCTAACCCTTTATTTTTATTTATTTATTTAAATATATTCTCATTGATTTCAGAAGGGAGAGAGAGGGAGCGGGAGATAGAAACATCAATGATGAGAGAGAATCATTGATTGACGGCCTCCTGCACGACCCCCAGCAGGGAACGAGCCCCCAACCTTGTCATATGCCCTTTCCCAGAATGGAACCTGGGACCCTTCAGTCTAAAAGCTGATGCTCTACCCACTGAGCGAAACCAGCTAGGGTTAACCCTTTTGTTTTAATACATTTTTATGGATTTCTCAGAGGAAGGGAGACAGAGAAAGAGAGATAGAGAGAGAAACATTAATGATAAGAGAGTATCACTGGTCAGCTGCCTCCTGCATGCCCCCTTACTGGGACTGAACCCACAACAAATTGGACCTGTGCCCTTGACTGGAATGGAACCTAGGACGTTTCAGTCCCCAGGCTTACACTCTATCCACTGAGTAAGCCAGCTAGGGCTGACCCTTGCTGTATTTATTTACTTACTTAGTCAGTTAGTTAGTTAATTATTATTAACTTTTACTAGAGGCCTGGTGCACAAAAATTTGTGCACTCGGGGGAGGGGGTCCCCCATACCGGCCTGTGCCCTCTCGCAGTCTGGGACCCCTCCGGAGATAACGACATGCTGGCTTAGGCCTGCTCCCGGGTGGCAGAGGGCACGTCCAATCCCTAGGTGCAGCCCCTGGTCAGGGTCAGAGCAGGACTGATTGGGGAGTTGGGGCGTCGCCCCGTCATGCACCGAGCAGGGCAGATCAGGAGGTTGCGATGCCCCCCTCAGTTACGCTCAGGGTAGGGCCGATTGGGGGGTTGGGACACCGCCCCCTGTCACACTCAAGACAGGGTCGATGGGGAGGTTGCGGCGCCACCCCCTGTCACACACAGAGTAGGGCTGATCAGGGGTTTGGGGCACTGCCCCCTGTCACTCTCAGAGCAGGGCCAATCAGGGGGTTGTTGCGCTGCTCCCTGTCACTCACAGAGCATGGCCCATGAGGGGGGTTGGGGCTCCGTATCCTGTCACACACAGAGCAGGGCCGATCAGGGGGTTGAAGAGCTCCCCCCTGTCACTCACAGAGTAGGGCCGATAGGGAAGTTGGGGCACCGCCCCCTGTCACTCACAGAGCAGGGCCCATCAGGGGGGTTGGGGCACCACCCCCTGTCACACTCAGGGCAGGGCCAATGGGAGGTTATGGCTCTACCCTGTCACACACAGAGCAGGGCTGATCAGGGGGTTAGGGCGCTGCACCCTGTCACACACAGGGCCGCAGGGCAATCAGGGGATTGGGGAGCTCCCCCCTATCAGGCACAGAGCAGGGCTGATCAGGGGATTGGGGCGCCTTCCCCTGTCACGAACAGAGTAGGGTGGATAGGGAGGTTGTGGCCCCGCCCCCTGTCACACACAGAGCCACAGGGCGATCAGGGGCTTTGGGCACTGCCCCCTGTCACGCTGATCCTGGTGCCGGGAGCCTCGCTGCTCGGCTGATCCCGGTGCCGGGAGGCATATTACCCTTTTACTATATAGAATAGAGGCCTGGTGCATGGGTGGGGGCTGGCTGGTTTGCCCTGAAGGGTGTCCTGGATCAGGGTGGGGGTCCCCACTGGGGTGCCTGGCCAGTCTGGGTGAGGGGCTGAGGGCTGTTTTCCGGCTGGCGAGTGACTGAAGCTCCCAACCGCTCCTTGTTTTCTTTTTTTCTTTTTTTTTTTATTCTGGGCTAGCTTTAGCTCTGAGGCCTCGCTGCTGAAAACATCGATACAATGTTGCGGTCCGGGGCTGACTGAAAGCCGGTTTCTGGGGTTTTGTTTAGCTTCTATATTTGCAACATAGTACATAGTTGCTTAGAGTTGTAGCTGAGAGGTCGGCAAGTTAGGCGGGGAACGTTGGAGTCCTTAGTCACTGGAGCAAGGAAGCCTCCCTGCTCGCTTCAGTGCATGGCTGCTGGCCGCCATCTTGGCTGACAGTTAATTTGCATAAGGATATGCTGATTAGCCAATGGGAAGGGTAGCGGTCGTACGCTAAATACCATGTTTCTCTTTTATTAGTGTAGATTGTTGACCTTAGGTATCTTCAAATGTGATTGCTCACTCAGTTTCCTGTCATCCTTTCTATACAGTTGTCCTTATTTGGTATTCTGTGTTGCTGTGTATCTTCATGATACTCTTATTACCATTTCCTGTGGTATGTTTTTCTCATGAGTAGCTGTCTACTTACTCTTGAATGGGGAAAGTTTCTGTATCTCTGATTCTGCCATCTTGCTGATGTCAGTCTCCTAGGCCTTTTGCCCGTGATCTCATTTGTCCTTTGTTGTTCTACCACATTGCTGACAATCCATCTGTTTAGTTTTTCTTCTAAAATTGCATCATTTATCCCATGCAGTGGCTCAACTGGGATTTAAGAGGCAGAATCCTTTGTATATCACAGGAGAAACATGACTTTATCAGTGACAGGCTAGACCCAGAGGCAGTCTTGCCTTGGTGAAGGAGTGTGGGGGCAGTTTTCATGCCTGGGCTTTGTTACATTCATAACTAGGATCCCATTTTGTTCAACAATGTTTTGTTACCATTGCCCACTCCTCACACAATTCTACTTCTTGCTTAATGTTGACACTTTTCAGGTTTTGATTTTTTATTTTTTAATATATATTTTATTGATTTTTTACAGAGAAGAAGGGAGAGGGATAGAGAGTTAGAAACATCGATGAGAGATATTGATCAGCTGCCTCCTGCACGCCCCCTACTGGGGATGTGCCTGCAAACCAAGGCACATGCCCTTGACCGGAATTGAACCTGGCACCCTTCAGTCAGCAGGCCAATGCTCTATCCACTGAGCCAAACCGGTTCGGCACGTTTCAGTTTTAACAGTGATCATTCTATTGGGATTCCCAGCCTGTGGATACCCTTAACCTCTCTAAACTTTGCACCTCTACCTCTTTCAAACATCTCGCTTTACTGCACTCCAATATTGTTCCATGCCTGCAGGCCTTACAGTACATATGAATTATTACATTGACGCTGAACACCACATGCTCTAATATGATTGATCATTTATGGTTTTGACACATTGGACTTATTCTACACAGACTCGCATTGCCAGCATGAAAGGGCTTAAAGGAAGCCATTTGTGGAGTAATAATGGGCCGACCGCTACCTCTCTTCTTTTTCTACCAGCCTATGCTTTTAGGTCCTCCCTTGGTAAGATTTTCTTCATTCAGTGACCTTTTGAGTCATGTTATATATAACAGCCATTTCCTGAGAGTCTGATGCAGTCGTCTTGAAAATCATTGTATGAAATCATATCTAGGCCCTAACCGGTTTGGCTCAGTGGATAGAGCATTGGCCTATGGACTGAATCGTCCCAGGATCGATTCCGGTCAAGGGCATGTACCTTGGTTGCAGGCACATCCCCAGTGGGGGTGTGTGCAGGAAGCGGCTGGTCGATGTTTCTCTCTCATGTTTCTGACTCTATCCCTCTCCCTTCCCTCTGTAAAAAATCATTAAAATATATTTTTAAAAAAAATAAAGAAAGAAATCGTGTTCAGCCATGACAGACAAACATCTGTGTTGAAGATATTCTGTTTTTATCAGGTCAACATGCACTTCACCTACCTTTACTTTTGCTCAGGTTGCTGCTGTGGAGAAGAGAATGTGGAGACCCTGACTGAACAAAAGGTTTCTGGAAGATTTTCACAGGCAAGGAATCCCAAGTTAGCATTGTCTTCCCAGAAGAGCCACCCCTGTGAGAGTTGTGGGCTAGTCCTGGGAAATATTTTCTGCGTGATGGAGCTGCAGGGAACACAACACAGACAGATACTGTTGAGGTGTGGAGCGTGTGCAAAAAGATTTTCGTTGTGTGCAACATTTCACCAGCAGCATGTGAGAGAGCAGACTTACATTAGAATTCCGGAAAGGATGTCACTTGCCAACAGCTGCAATTTCACTGTGTCCCAGAATCATTTCACCTGTGGGGAGGTTGGGCAGAGTGTCCTTACTGAATCTGGACATCTCTACCTACAGGCTTCTCAGACCGGGGACAGTCCAACTGCTATTTTGATGCGTGGGATGACGTTTCAAAGTAGAAAAAACTATTTCAGCAGAAAAGAATGTAAGAAAGACATTAGTTGCACCCACACGTTTATTCAGGAAAAAGATTTCCATCTTGGAAGTGGGTGTTGTGTGTGTTCTGAATGTGGAAAATTTTTTACCAAATTTTCTGGCTTTCATTATCAACAGAGTGGTCACACTGTAGAAAAGCATTACAAATGCAGTGAATATGGTAAATCTTTTACCGCTAAGAACATCCTTCAGCAACATCAGAGAGTTCATATGGGAGAAAAGCCTTGTAAATGCAGTGAATATAGGAAGTCTTTTACTCAGAGCACTACCCTTCATTTTCATCAGGGAGTTCACACTGGAGAAAAACCTTATCAATGCAGTGAATGTGGCAAACCTTTTACCACTAAGACCCACCTTCATCGACAGCTGAGACTTCATACAGGAGAAAACCTTTATAAATGCACTGAATGTGGAAAATCTTTTACACGGAGTACTTGTCTTCATGATCATCAGGTGGTTCATACAGGAGAAAAGCTTTATCATTGTAGTGAATGTGGGAAATCTTTTACCCGGAGCCCTACCCTTCGTATTCATCAGAGAGTTCATACAGGAGAAAAGCTTTATCATTGTAGTGAATGTGGGAAATCTTTTACCCGGAGCCCTACCCTTCGTATTCATCAGAGAGTTCATACAGGAGAAAAGCCTTATAAATGTGATGAGTGTGGTAAATCTTTTTCCCGGAGCACTCACCTT